AAGTTGTACAAAATTAATATGACAGTAGTGTTTTTCCAGGCTGGTAGGGGAAAATAGGGTGGACGTGAGGTTGGAGAGGTGGGCAGGGGCCACTTCAGGAGAAGCCTAACTAAATGGTAGCTATTGTACTAGAGAGGAGGGGATGGACACAAGAGATAGTTAGGTGATAAAATGGATATTCCAAGTATTCCAAGAATACTTGGAAACAACTGGCTGTGAGATGACCAGTTTCTTCAGTAAAGATGGAAGAGGGGAAGACATGAGGTCAGTTTTGGTCATGTTATGTTTGAGACACCAATGAGGTGTCCACGTGAGCTGTCAGATTTACAGATGTGGAAGGTACAGAAAAACTGTGGGCTGTAGATAATAATTTGAGAATTACCAGTAGTTGGAGCTTGACATTTTGAGGAGCACAGGTCAGTTATTTTGTAGAATGTTCGTCAGTTTGGGTTTGTTTTTGGCTTCCTCGTGATTAGGTTCAGGCCGTGCATCGTTGGTAGGAATACCACAGGGGTAATGTTGTGTCCTTCTCAGCACATCGTATTAGAGAGGCGTATGCTCTCAGTTTGTTCCTGGTAGTGGTGATGTTAACTTTTATCACTTACTTAAGGTGGTATCCACCAGTTTTCTCCACTGTGAGGGTCCTATTTTTTCCCTTATAATTAGTATCTCGTGGGAAGATACTTTGAGACTATGTATATATCCTATTCCTCATCAAATTTTTGCCCACCACTTCTAGCATTAATTGATAATTTTTACCAGAAGCTGGCATTAATCTAATGGTTGTAGAGTGGCGATTTTTCTAAGTCTATCATTTCCTTCTACATTTATTAGATAACATTATACTATGAGGAAGAGCTTTTTCCTTTTCCCTGTTTATCTATTTATTATCTGCATGGAAGCATGGATTCTTATTTTATGCACTGAGTTACAATCTTGTTATCATTAGGTATTTTTTTATTTTTTATTTTTGGTGAGGATTGGCTCTGAGCTAACATCTGTTGCCAATCCTCCTCTTTTTGCTGAGGAAGATTAGCCCTGAGCTAACATCCGTGCCCATTTACCTCTATTTTATACGTGGGGTGTGTGTGTGAGGAAGATCAGCCCTGTGCTAACATCTGCCAATCCTCCTCTTTTTTTTTTTTTTTCGCTGAGGAAGACTGGCCCCGGGCTAACATCCGTGCCCATCTTCCTCCACTTTGTACAGGATGCCGCCACGGCATGTCTTGCCAAGCAGTGCGTCAGTGCGCGCCCGAGATCCAAACTGGTGAACCCTGGGCCGCCACAGCGGAGCGTGCACACTTAACCGCTTGTGCCACCCGGCCAGCCCCTCATTAGTTATTTTGATGCTCACCTTTTCCAAGGTTTGGCCAATAGAAACTTCTTCAAGTGGCCCCCATTGTCCTTTTGACACTGTATTTTTGAGTACTTCCTATTTTCTTCCACAAGAGGTTCCAGGCACATCATATACTTACCCTGCTCCAGTTCAGGAATCAGCCATTTCTCCAAGGAGCACACACATGTATACATACAGACTATACATATACACATGCACACATATATAACATGTACATTCGTATTTATCTATGTAAATCATATTTATACCTCCAATTCTAGTTCAGTCTCACACAGTTCCTAACCTTTTCCCCGGGAGAAACCTGGCTTCCAGTATCCTCAATATTTTGCTAAATTCATTCAATATATAGAAAGTATTTTCCAAATTGTTCCATACCACTGTTAAAATCAAACCTCCTAATAGAGTTCAGTATTTGTTTATAGTTCTTTATGTCTTTAGACCAGATTTATATAGTCATAATATATATTTAAAAGTTCCTTTGGTGTGTGGTTATTGTATCTTGTTCATTTGATTTTTTTTTATTAAGTCTGTACAAAAGTAGAGAGAATAATATAGGGAGCCCTGGTGAACCTATACCAGCTTTAACGTTTATCAGTACGTGGTCAGTCTGATTTCATCTTTAGTCCCCACTCTGCACCTGTCCTCAGATTATTTTGAAGCAGAGAATAGTTTTTTTTAAGATAGGATTTGTGCTTTTAAACAATTTACTGTAATATAGCTTTATCGTCCTTAAAAAGCCCTTTTACTTACCCCTTATATTTAGTGTTCAGTGTGCTATAAATTGACTATTACTGTTTATTGTTATAGCATCAAATAGTAAATATAGATCTTATGCTGGAAATGTCAACCTCTCTGACAGCCATAACCCCCATCATTGAAAGAGAAAGCGGAGGACACCACTATGTTAGTATGACTTTACCGGTTGATGCAGTTATATCTGTTGCTCCAGAAGAAACATGGGGAAAGTAAGTATTTTATAATACTACTGCCACATTGAAACAAGGATTCCTCCCCAAAGTAATCAGAGCCCATTTTTAAATATCATGTAGGTATACCCAGGGTGGTGGTGGTTGTTTTTACTATGATTTATTCCTCGTTTATTATTAAACTGAGTCATCTAGTAATTAAATGTTTATTTGGAAGAAGTAGGGTAGTACGCAAAACCTATAGGGTTTTCCCTTTATCTACACAGAGGAAATATAAAGTTTATTTAACTTTGCATAATTTAGGCTTCTTTTAATAAGTTTGCTCCAGTCAAGTTTTTTTTACTATATTCGGGATATATTAATTCTACACTTTGATTTCTCGTGCTCACTATAACTTTTGTTAATGCACTTGAATATTTCCCTCTACAGAGTTCGTAAACTTCTAGTTGATGCAATTCATAATCAACTAACGGATATGGAAAAGTGCATTTTGAAATATATGAAAGGAACATCTATTGTGGTCCCTGAACCATTGCACTTTTTATTACCAGGGGAAAAAAACCTTGTAACAATTTCATATCCATCAGGAATTCCAGATGGTCAGCTGCTGGCCTACAGAAAGGTAAAACCAACTCATTTACTCTTAGAACAAATAAGACTATCATTCCTTTTGTATTTAATTATATATTTCTAATAAATGGGAATTATTGTGTGATTTAATATGAAAGTGTGGAAACAGACTATTAGTTTTACATATTATTTAATTTCTGTTCTTGTGCAACTTCTTCTTTTAAGTATTATTAATGAAAAAGTATTATGGTAAACCATATGTAACATTTTAATTTCATATGCTCACAGTGGTTCATATGGTCTATGAAATTCTTCCGTAATGAAATACAGAAATGAAAAGATGCATACATGCCTACAACAGCTGATGACTGTTAATAAATTCCTTTCCCTTCCATTACTTCCAGATTTGTGAAAGAGATAAGTTCACAGTTAGGGAAGGAAAATTAAGATTTATGCTAATTCTAATTAGGATTTATAGTAATACTCCGTCTCCCACCTCCCACGGTTATTTGGGTTTTATTAGAGTTTGAAGAAAACATGATTGGCATTCAAAGAAATGAGATTTATTGGCAAAATGACTGGTTTTAGAGTACATATTTTTGATGTGTGGCCTTGCCTGGCACCCATCAAATTATACCATGGGAGCACCTTCCTAGTCTCTGTCCCTGAGAAGAAGTATGATACTGTAACCCTCTGTACCTCTCTGTAAGTGTTAGATGAATTGATATGTAGAGGCAACAGCTACACGAGCTGATGGTCCCATTCAAACTGCTAGAATACACAGGAGATACGAAAAAGAAAATGTCAAACTTTTCAAAGTAACTATTACATGCTTTTATACAATTGGGAATATTTTGCATTTTAAACATGTATGTGTATTTTTATTTTGATGCCATATTGGTTGGTTTCATACCACCAATATCTACTCTGTAATTTAATCTTTACCCCTTATATTTGTTAAGTACTCGAAGCATGATTTTTCAAAATACTTTGATATAATTATATCATTGTTAATTATATTTTACTCATTTACAAGGCTGTTTCAAAACCAGTCTTTAGCCTGGATGTACTTGAACGGACTGTGTTATAATAAATAATTAATTTTAAATTATCTCAGTTCTCTCACTAACAAATTACTTTCATTTTTCTACGTTCCCTTCCAGTTTCTATCTGTATACATAGATAAATAAAAATAAGTCTTATTTGGTTTTAGTTTAATCTCACTCTCTTTGACCTTAGTGAATTAAATCATAGGTGTGTTTGATAACTTTTATAACCAATATATAGTTAATTTTCTGTGTTTCATATCTTTATTTATTGACTAGGAATCTAAATCATTTAACTTTTTTTCTCTTCTTCTCTATTCTAATTTCATTTAGGAGTTACATGATCTCTTCAATCTGCCTCACGACAGACCTTATTTCAAAAGGTGTAATGCTTATCACTTTCCAGATGAACCATATAAAGATGGTTACATTAGAAATCCACATATTTATCTCAATCCACCTAACATAGAGACTGGTATGGTGAGTTTAATAATTGCTTATGGGAGTCAGTTGATCATTAATGTCATGAGTTGTTTTTTGTTTGTACCCAGTGGACGTTGTAAGGATTAATTCATAATGTATGTCATCCCTAAAACGTAATTTACCACCCGTTTCTTTTAGTAATCCTTGCTTAAGATAGTAGTAATTCACAGTGGTCTAAAAAGGTTAGGAATAGATAGTGTGTACCACATTTCTCTTACTAAATTACATTCCCTATTTTCTTTAATGGCTTGTCCCATTTTATTTTCATTAAGGGCATATTCTCCCCAGAACACACTGTAGCAGAAGTCTAAGAAGGTACTGCAGCGTGTGTTCTGTGCAGTGTGTACCTGGCTGCCAGGGGTAGATCCTCACTCAAGGTGGCTCAAGTAAGAGGGATCGGCAGAGCGTGGGGAAGGGTTCCTTTAAGGATGCATGCAGGCTGGGAGGAAAGGATCTCACAGGCGTCTGAGACCAGGAATCCTTGGACAGCTGGGCCTCTGAGAACAAAGCAGCCCTGGGGCTGCCAGCTGCCTCAGTCTCAGGCCTACAGCGACTCCTTGATGGCATTTCTGCTGCTTTCTGTGTGGATGCTTTTCA